GGAGAAGCTATGTAATCTAGCTGTATTATGTATATTATGCCTATAAGGTTTACCTGACAGTATGGTTGAGCGATGACACTTGCTCCTTTAGCACGCCATTTTCTGATGTACAGGAAACAACTCTACAGAAAAAATAATAATTACTTACATGCTTACTTCCATGCTTACTTACAATGATATCATAGTGGCTCTATGTCTTACTATGGACGAGTAACCACAAAAATAAGAGAAACGTAACATTCACGGTCAGTTCCTTATTACGTTCAACAYAAACAAAGTGAGCTTTACGTTCTTACGTTTTTTCTAAATTTTCTAAGTATTCTTTTTTCTTTCGACGACTTTCTTGAGCTGAAAGCTTTGAAAAAAAAAATAGAATTGTGTCATTACATGCAAATAGTAGACAGTATTGTGCAAAATTTCATTTAAGAATGCGTAGCAAGTCAAACGTTTATGTAAGCAGAGAGGAAGATTTAGACAATCGATTACGTAAGATTTCGTAAGATTTAGACAATCGATTACGTAAGACATACGTATGGCAAGACATGTGTACAACAATAACAACATAAAAAAAATCAACTACTTACTTTATTTTTGATTTTTCTTCGTATTCTTTTGAGCGCTCTTTCTTCAGACTACAAGCATACAATAATTTAACGTAAATAAATTATTTTACGCATCAGACCCACTACGTAAGTTGTAAAACGTTACCTTATTACGTGGAGGTTCTTGCAGGGGAACAGGGAATGGTTCATATTGATTATCCTCTGGTTTATTAACATTATTATAAGTATCTTCATTGATATTGACTTGCGTATGTGTATAATTCGTGTGCTGAAATGACAAAAATTTTACGTATATGAGTTACGTAGCAATTATTACCCATAAAGCACTGTYAAGCCAAAATATCAAAGCAGAACTATGCCTTGACTACGTTTTACGCACGTTTTTACGTTAATTTCCACGCGATATAGAACTAAAGTACCATAGTCATTCATCTAGCCTTACTGACGGAAACGTAAATRATTTTACGTGCGTGAGTTCAATTTAGAACTGATATATCACAATGACTATAGTCATAAAATCTATATCAAGATCCTTTGAAAAACTTGAAAACAAGAAAACGTAGATGAGTTTACGTAATTACTTACCGATACACTACTTGTACCGTAAGCCATAATATCTGGATCGCAGTGTTTTGTTACGTATCCGGTTTTAACGTCTGTAGACTGTGAGTCCACATTCTTTTTATTCTTTTGCTGTTTTTTCTATAAAAATAGGAATCATTAATACGTATCACTTTGTGCACAATAATATCTGGTCATCTTCTTTGTCCAATAAGTATTGTATCTGGAATATACCTTGTCCAATAAATATGATATCTGGAATAACACTTTTGCGTCCTCTTTGTTTGCTCGTGCGATTAATGATGTTTTGCCGTTTTCAGTTGAGTCTGTTGTGTTGTTTAAATGCTGCAATGGAATATTTCATGAAACACAGTAAATGACATACCCTCGTACTACAGTACCAATAAGGAACAATTTGCAAAAGTCAGTTATAAAACTGCATGTTTCTAGTCTAATGAAGTTTAGTTAATTCTATGTCAGTGCTGCTGCAGCACTAAGTTCAAAATCAAAATCATCACTTTTCTTGTGTTCGTATGATACTGAATCACATTTAAACTGTCGAAAACAATAAAATAACAATCACTACTGATAAACCATGTTGGAAAGCCTTCATCAGGGTATCCGGGTACAGATATTCACGTGCACGTTATCATGGATCAGTCGATCGAGACCCAGGTGGCTAAACATATCAATTACTTTGAAGTTGGACGTTAACTCTTTCACTTCCTCCTTATAAAAGAGTGTTATAAATCTCCGATCCTCGGTGGTTAKGGGGCTGGGGTTTCAATTCACTGATACATGCCCAGTCACTCCAATTCAATATTAGTACCAGATGTACTTACACGTAGATCGCCGTTCATGCCAGTATGCATGTCATTGTATGTGTTGTACAAGGCCGCCATATCGGTGTATACTGCCATGGTTTGTGAATTATACTGTTAACTAAGAAAACATAGGATATATCAGCATATCACCATCTAACAAACAAAACAAAAATATTAAACAAATCAATGGGAATTCTTGACAGGAGTTGATTGAAGTTAGTATTTTTCCAGTGTGACAGACTGGTCATCTGTCTCAAGTTGTGAGTACACTGGACATTTGAGYTGGTGTCCAAAAACAGTCAACTCTCAATGAAAGAAGTTCACTAGCATTTTGAATTTCTCCTTAACCAGAAGAACGCGCGTTTTGATTCCGAACATGTACTAGAAAGTTCCTTAGCACTTGTTACCCCCACTCGCTCACTTGAACACATGTTTAGACTTCCGATCTTTCTTCTTGCATTTTTTTTAATTTCTTGTTATTTTACTTGTTTTTTCTTTCAGTGAAATCTAAATGTGCACGAATCTTTAAAACAGCAGTAACCAAAAAATCGAAGCTTTGATGTATAATTATATTTTCTCTAAAAAAATGCAAGAACTATAGCTCACTATGATACAGCAATTGGTACATCATGGTTGATTAGATAAATGCACAATGCCTAAGAGTTACTTTTCTCATTTCTTTTTTATGTTGTTATAGTAACCGAGCAGAAAAAAATTCAAAAAATCTCTAGAAGTGTTAACAACTTATAACAACAACTTTAAGGCAATAAAATGCACCAAAAACCTGACTTACTTCAGATATAGATACAGATTTTGTGGCCTCTGAGCTATAGTAGACCATCAGGTCCAAAGTACATCATCAACTGAGGCTGATAATTTTAAGAACATCCTGCAAAAACGTGCTTTTGAATACTCAAACCGAGATTCTTGAATGTTATTGGCTGATGGAATGGTTATGAAACACCATACTAAACTCACGTTTACGGAAATAAGACAAGTTTAAATGTATTTATATTTAGTGCAATTCGTGTATGTCTGACAATATCTATCTTTATATATTAGCATTTAATGATCAGGAAAGGCTACAGTTGGCTTTTTTTTGCTTGGTGATTTATTGTCTCGATATAATCTGCTGAAAAAGTAATTTGTTGAAATGAGCTAAAAGTCAAAGTTTCATCATGTCCTTATATGGATTGATCATGTGTCAGTATCGTGCRACATTTTCGTTGTTTTGGGTCAACGTGATTGTGATTGTGCTMCAAAATGGACGCAAAACAATGTGAAATTGTCTCCATCAATGAGAATGTAGTTACTGTCGGACTATTTCTACAGTGTCAACAATGATATACCAGCTGACACCAGGCATTAATCAACTATACTAACTTTAATCTGATTTTTGCACGTGAAACCTTTAAAATAACAAATGATATTGAATGTCTTGATAGAGAAAGTGGTTTGTTTTTGTGTTTTGGAGTTACTATCTAGATTGTCTACGCACGAAAAGACTGATCAAAACATCATTATTGACATGAATATACGCATCCACATCCACACTAAGGAAAACACACATAGATAATGACAGCAGTTTTCTGTAATTTAGCCCTCTTTTCTGACTTACTTCACCAATAAGAAACAGTTATAAATATTGAAATATATTCATTTGCGTAGCCTAGTATAAACTCAAAAATGACACAATTGCAAGACTAGTAATCTCAACATCAATACTTAAGAAGTAAAGAATCACATAGAAAGGAATTTACCTTATTTTCCTGAGCCTTCAACACCTATTAAGATAAGAAGTGGAGTCCATAAACATTTTCTCGATTCCAGGAGCAAACACCATTCGTATAGATTCCCGTCTCAACACGCACGTTATTGGCCACGTGTCTGAGTTACGTGGTGACGTGGCGAGTTAAACACTCCAACGAGGTAGCCGGTTCCTTGAACCGATTCACCAAGTTATTTGAACTACCTGTAAGCAAGCAAACAATTATTAGCTACGTCTTAACTAGTCCAGGCATATCTGACAAGTAAGAAAATTAGTTTCTTCTCGCACGACATGATATTTTTATCAAAATTGAGAGTTCAATCAAAATGCGGTTTAGAATACAATTTATTACTTCCTCGCCTAAAAAAAACGTATKTCCCCATGAAATGTGAATTTATTATCAATCCCAATCACTCATGGATATGTCAATTAAAGTAAGTCGCTAGTTGATAAAACTGGTGTTAAGATCAAAGTGAATTAAAAAGACGTTTCAAGCAGTATCTGACGTTTAAAGAAAAGTTCTTCATTATAACATTGTTGGTGCTTTTTTGTAAACTTTTCATCTTTCAAGGAACGACAATGCAGTGACGTTGTCAAAACACTTGTACAGTTCCATCTATTTGTTGCTATGACTGCAGCCACTCGATTAGAAAAAATTCGCTCAAACAGTCGACAACCGCAAGACACAAATTGACATTTAAGTCAAGATTTTAGAAATTATAATTTCATTATAAAACGAATGGTTCGCCATTAATGATGTTTTCTATTTTTATCAAGACGTTTTCTTCATATCAGTTATACTGGTARATAAAAGAAAGTAGTACTATCATGTCGTGTTTTTGTGGGTGTGTGGTCGACTTGTTCCGCGTACCTGTTGTGACCAATAACCTGTCATTATTTTCACTGATTTATACTACAGTACTATACCATAATTGCTAAAAAACGAACAAAAAGAACAGTGATAACAATTGATTATTTCAAGACGTTAGAAATCAAGTCAAGGCACGAACAGGACGAGTGACACTTTGTTCTGTAGTGAGTTTTAATTAAGAATTCCAAGTGAGATGTTTAGAGTTGCTATGCAATCTATTTTTACTGCACACCAACGAAGATAGAAATAACACACGATAAAATGACTACAAGGAACAAATTAAACCGCTTAAAAATATCAGTCTTTAATCATCTTTTGAGTTTGCTTTACAAGTCCAACAGTGAAACACTGATCTTATCAACGGAAGCATATACACAAGCGTAAATTAATTTTTCCTTGCGTGGTCAGTCTGTAACAGTATGAGCTCATTTGTTTTTCACTCAGTGTGGATCTCGTTAACCCAGTTTTGCATTTAACTAACAAACTAAAAGTCTAATATTATAAGTTATAATATTCGTTATTTCATACATGGTTCCCGTAGATTCCTATTCGTTTTGTTTGCCTACGTGTCAACATCAAATGCACTTTAGTTACCGTACAATTGGTAACACACTTGAACAAATGAACCACTGACATAGATATCTCATCCTAATGCTCTCAGAAAATGAAAAAGAAAGAAATAATAACACAGTGAATGTCTATGTTATTATGCTAAGACAGTATCTTCGAGAAAAATATTCATTCATTAGCAAGTAAAGTCCCAAAGTTCCTATCGGTTTGAAGACCGACATGAATGCGCATGTGTAAAAAGCGTCCGAAAACGTGCCGAATTAAACGCACAGTCCGGTGATGTTTTCTATTCCTATCTTCTCTCTCGCTTATGTAACACACAGCCTGTTTCGGGTTTTTTCCACTTTCTTTCTTGACTCGTGAATTTCAACTTGCAACACTAATGAAGTACGTGAATGAATAAGACAGATAAGGAAATTTAATCTAAACGAGCTGGTCTAATATACACCTGCRATTCACTCAACCAGTATCCGATGAGTTTTGTGGCGGCTTTGCTAAGCAAAATTTGCTCTTTTAATTCTTGCTTTCGTTTATGTCCTTTTTCTTCTCGTCTTGATATCTCATAAAGTTTTTATATCTGGAAAGTTCAATTTTGCTCTCTTTTTTTAATTATCAGTTATACCTTAAGATCAGTAAGCTATCTATAGATTATCTATAGATGTTGAATTGTTACTTTGAAATAATAATAAAACTATTCTAGGATACATTTTAACTAAATTCCCTTTTTTCTTTTTCGTTTTTTTCTTTTTTTCAATTGATCTTCTTTCTCTTTTAGAGACATGAAAAATAAATTGTCTTATTGCGTTYAAAGCTATAATTGGAATTTGGCAGAAAACGTTTTAAAAATTTATACAACAAAGTTGTCGGCCAAAAATAAAAGTGAGGAAATCTAAACTGCCAACGGATGCAGAATTGAGYATATGGAACATGACAATAATAACACAACTTGAAAAGGTCAACAGAAGTAAGCCTCAATCTTTCAAAGCGCGCAAATTAGAGAGGAAAGCAAAAAAAAAATCGATAATCAATACCAATCTCTACACAACAGAAATATCGGTTTCTTGGCTAAATAAATCCACTGAAATCTAATTTTCTACAAAAATACACGTGTATGTTGACATCGCATGGTAAGTGGTGTTCGCGTGACCCATGTTTTGTTATATAACTGTAGTATGCACCTGACAGTCTCGGTCTCACGTGTATTTCCATGGACACACTTAAAAATGAACTCACTGCACTTCAAAAAACTGCCTTATGTCATTGCAAATAAACTGATGAAACAAAAATGTCATTTGTAAATAAGGAAAGGATATACTAGTTGTAAGATCATTTTAAAGGTGTGTGGTTAGTTTCGCGTGGAAACTGACTGACGTGTCGCTTTTTAATTATCTTTTTTTCCAAGATAATTCTCDGTGAGTCATCTCTATTAATGAGGTTAATTTTAGCTGAGCACGACTACAGTTTTGAAAGAACAACACTTGATAATGGAATCACAACATCTTTTTCTCTTCCTAAGACAATATTTTTAGTCATTTTCTACTATTCAATCAATTCATGGAATCATTCCCAAAATAACTATAAAGTATCACACTAAACGTACCGGCWATCGTGTTACTATATCCAATGCGTCGTTCGACATCAGCGACTGGCTGCATCCAACAATTTATGTTTYACTCTGATGTCAAAAACGCCGTCCAACACTGAATTTTTCATATTTTATTCTGACGTTATAATCCAGCAATTTTTAAWTTAGTTCACTTTGAGATCACACATTGTGCAACAATTTTTCATATCTTACTCTGATGTTATAAAACGTCTTATAATGTATATTAGGATTTTAGGTACAGCTAATGCAAGTTACCAGCGACTTATTAATGTTCATGTACAGGTCGTATTGAAGAATTTGTTTCCATATGGTATGTKTTTATTTATCATATTTTAATATGGTTAAAAACGATAACCAGGTTTGATGCAGGGATTCATCAGCCAGCGTTATTCGTTCGCTATATTAGCCACCAAGGCCGGTATAATTTGTCATATCAGCCTCAAACGATGTTTGATTGAGTATTCATACTAGTTGACGTCCAAACATGACCTGAAATCCTTTCCCTTCTTAATATTAGATACTGTAGCAAAGATGTATGAAATGTACATTAGTCAATTATAACAGGATTATCAAGTGTACAAAGTTAGACCTGGGATTATCATCTTACAATAGTCGGCATGATAGAAGGATAACGGTGTAATTTAGACGTGTACACCAACATCCAGGCTTCATTATTTGTGTGCACAGCCTATACTGTCTGTCTTGTTTGCAGTGCATTTTGTATTCAAGTGGTCAAAGCCATGGTCTGCGCAGACTRCTCT